CGTGTGGAAGGAGACAAAGAATAAAGAAGGTAGCAAGAGAGAAGATGGGACTTGGGCTGTGTCTACCCCGTCTACCATTTCAAGGGATCGTTTAGTAATTTCCTTTGAAAATATTGGCTATTCATTTCCATCACCCTCTCTTTAAGCTACACGCACCCTCCATGACATCATCCTGCATTCAGATCTGATTGGCCATGCAGTATTATGTTCTATTAACCGCATGTTGCCTATTTTTGGAGATAAACAACTGGTCTGATGCAGGAAATATTGTTTTCTCCCTCAGTTGACTGTTTGTTCTAACCAGAGCTATTGCATAGTCACACTGTTACAGGAAAAATAGGGGGGTTGGCTTTTGCTGCCCTACTCCCGAAGGGACTGAGACCCTAAGTCCATGATCAGTCAGAGATGAGTGGATGGAGGCAAGATCCATAGAAAGCAAGGCAGATCTTTATTTTTCTGTTGCAACAGAGTTCCCGACCCTCCTTGCAAAGAGGTAGGAAATACCTAGAACAATGGTGCACAAGCCCCTATAAAGACTCTTGAAATTGTCCACCCTGTAACTGAAGACCACCCTCCAAAACATCACACATACATCACAGAAGGAGGCAGCCTCCAGCAGAAATTTGAGAGTGTTGCTTCTCTCCTGTCTTCCAGGATACCTGATAATGCCTTACTTGATTGCATTTTCTGGGTAGCCTGGCCATTCCTTTGAGATAGTAAATACTTTAGTTCCTGTACCTCTTGCACATATTGATAGTTTGCTCGGCTTAACAGATGCAATACTTGCCAGACTGTATTTGCTGGTGTAAGCCCCTACTGTCCAAAGACAATTGGAAAGCTTTTGCGTGTTCAGACCAGAGACCTCTCCCCTAAATAAATACACATTTGACTCAAATTTTAGTTTTGGTTTTTGGCAGAATTTAGGCCACAACTTTATTGATTACAGAAAAGTGAGTGGTTGCATAGGCTCTGGTATGACTAGCTCCCTGCACCCTTGCAGGTAGTGCTGACCCAGAGCTCTATCATAGGTCAGCCAAGGGTGAACACCTGAGGTGGTGAAAAGCCCGGGAACAGACTATGTTCACTCCCCAGATGCTCCCCTGGACTCAGGCATGGGCACAACCCCCTCTTGGGGGTTGACCAAACCAAGTTGAGTCCCTGGATTCCTTTAACGGAATACCCTTCACATAGGGATGGCGAGACCGTTCTCCCATCCCTACCACCAGAACTAGAGCCTATCCGCAACCTTACAAGTTATGACGATTTGCTACACGGCAGGTGAAACCCAAATGGCAACAGCCAATCAGCCAAGTGGGGAAAATTCCTGCTGTGCCCCTGTCCCAACAACAGACGACACATGATGGCATAGCAAGGTCAATCGCAAAAACCCTGAAAGTAGGGAGAGGTGGGCAGGTGTTCCGATGCACGAGCTGTAAGAAGAAGCTCTGGGTCACATGCATAGGTATATATAGGTCCCTTGATCCGTTTAGACTGCACCCCATTGGCCAGATTAAACCCAGCAATGAGGGACTTACCAATCAAGTGTTGTGACTGTCCAATATACCCACCCACAACCAGGAGGTCAGTTTCCAGGTCTCACCGCAACACGTGCCCTCTTTTAGGGAGGACACGATTTCCCATTTCCTTCCTCCTTGCAGAGAAATATTCGAGGTCAATTTGAGAGAGTCAAAATGGCTTCAGGATTGCTCTCCCGTACTATTTCAGACACATGGTTTATATACCTACGTGTGTTTTCGCCTTGTACATTTATGAACATTTATTCTATATCTGAGACCTTAGAATTCTTTAACAACACCATGTGTCCATGGTGTTGTGGCACCCTTCTGTGCTGTCTGGCCCATCCTGATTGGTTGGGATTACAGGGGAAAATATAAATATTCTTACAACTAAAAGGGTTTCAGGGACTATTCCCCCCTCCCACCGCCCTAACATTTCCTTACAAAAGTACTAAAAGAGAGACTAAAAGAGAGCCAATGTGGTGTAGTGGTTAAGAGTGGTGGACTCGTAATCTGGTGAACTGGGCTTGATTCCCCGCTCCTCCACATGCAGCTGCTGGGTGACCTTGGCTAGTCACACTTCTCTGAAGTCTCTCAGCCCCACTCACCTCACAGAGTGTTTGTTGCGAGGGAGGAAGGGAAAAGGAGATTGTTAGCTGCTTTGAGCAGTACATGTGAAAAGGATCTAGGAGTCTTGGTTGACCACAAACTTGACATGAGCCAACAGTGTGACGCGGCAGCTAAAAAAGCCAATGCAATTCTGGGCTGCATCAATAGGAGTATAGCATCTAGATCAAGGGAAGTAATAGTGCCACTGTATTCTGCTCTGGTCAGACCTCACCTGGAGTACTGTGTCCAGTTCTGGGCACCACAGTTCAAGAAGGACACTGACAAACTGGAACGTGTCCAGAGGAGGGCAACCAAAATGGTCAAAGGCCTGGAAACGATGCCTTATGAGGAACGGCTAAGGGAGCTGGGCATGTTTAGCCTGGAGAAGAGGAGGTTAAGGGGTGATATGATAGCCATGTTCAAATATATAAAAGGATGTCACATAGAGGAGGGAGAAAGGTTGTTTTCTGCTGCTGCAGAGAAGCGGACACGGAGCAATGGATCCAAACTACAAGAAAGAAGATTCCACCTAAACATTAGGAAGAACTTCCTGACAGTAAGAGCTGTTCGACAGTGGAATTTGCTGCCAAGGAGTGTGGTGGAGTCTCCTTCTTTGGAGGTCTTTAAGCAGAGGCTTGACAACCATATGTCAGGAGTGCTCTGATGGTGTTTCCTGCTTGGCAGGGGGTTGGACTCGATGGCCCTTGTGGTCTCTTCCAACTCTATGATTCTATGATTCTATGATTCCTTAGGGTAGTGATAAAGTGGGATATCAAATCCAGACTACTACTCTTCTTCTTCTCCTTCTACTACTACTACTACTAAAAATAAAAGTGGGGAACATAGGTTTCAGCCCTAGGCATGAAGAGGCAACAAACAAACAGCTAAGGGTGGGAATGACTGACATTCTTCCATCACAAAATGACAAAGGTTTATAAATGATAATGGAAAAAATGTTATCCCCACATTAACACCACTGTTTTATTTGCATCCTTTTAAAATATATATATATATATTTAAAACAACAACAACAGGGAAGGGCAGGAATCACACCAATGAAAGGGGAGGATGAGAAAAGTATCAGGACAGCTCTACATCCCTTTGAGCTATTAATGGGCAATTGCATAACAAGTGCCGCAGGGTTGCTAGGGTTTGCCATGTCTCCTTGCTGTGTTAAATATTAACGGGACATGCACTTTCAGAGGTATTGTTCGCAGTGCCTGGATACTGCCGAGCCAATCACCGTTGGCCGTGTTGCCATGGAAGCAATATCAGTGATTCATTTCATTTACAATGAAATCCACACAGCACTCTGCTAAATGGATCTGTAAAAATGAACCGTGTAAATGAGGAGCAAACAGTTCTTGGTATTTGCTGTCTCCTGTTGCATGGGTCTTCCACCCCTCTAATTTGTACACATTCTCTCTCTCACACACACACTGCAGATTGGAAAATGAATTTTGCAAACATGATTTCCCAGCTACTTTCATATCTTCGTATGCAGCCTCCCCATCTGAAACCTAAACTCCTTTAATCTGCAGCAGAGGGTGAATTTTTTTATGCATCCCTTCTGAAGACCTGTTCATATCAATAATGGCTATGGGCATCTTTGCTCTTTCTTCTTGTTGTTTGAACTGATGGTCATACTGTAAGCCAAAGTATCACATCTTGTGCATATGTGTGTGCTCAATCACATCTTTGTCATGTCTCCAATTAAGCTAAGTATGAGAACTCATTTGAAATCACCTCACAACAATGGATCGGGGTGAGGGTGGGGGTGGGGAGCTGACTGGCTGTTTTGTTTCAGCAATAAAATGATTGCTGTTGTAAAAATACAAAAAGCAAACAAAAAACAAACACCCAAACCCCATCATTCTTCTTAATTTCACCTCTCCTGCATTTAATGTTTGGCACTGAAATGTCTCCACAGCAGAAATGCTATATCAAGGGGCACAGGAGTTTTGCAAACGGATGAAGCAAAATGCAATGTAGGGCAATCTTGCAAAAAAAAAAAAGAGAGAAGAAAAGAAAAAAGGAAGGAAGGAAACTCAAAAACAAGGTTATCTGGTTTAGCGATGTGTAAAATGCACTCCCAAGAAATTTGTTTTCAGTTCCATTTCCCTTGCCTGGTGCCATGAATTTACATAGGAAAACCATGCAATTATTCAACTGTCACCTGGGCTTAAAAATGAAATAAAAATCAACGGCTTGTGTCAGTTAAAGGCCTTACATGTATTTATATACGCAGCATCTCTCGCTCACGCTTTCACTGCATTGCAGGTCTTGTAGTCTTAAAACCAGATAAACAAATAGTTTATCGTTGATTCCTTCTATCCCTGCGGGCGCATTTGGAATACTGAGAGTGTGTTTGGGGGCGCCAGTCACAAAATAGCTCATGTGGGGTGTGTGTATGGCATAACACAAAATGGCCTCCCCAGGGAGCATGGCATAGCACAAAGTTAGAGAAACAGCCACTCCTGACAACCTTATACATAGCATGCGCAGTTATCTATTTCCTGCCAGTTTTTATTATGGAGATCACACACACACACACACACACACACACACACACACACACACAGATGCCATTGCTGTCTAATAACAACAAGGGTCATTTCTCAGTACCAGAAAAAATGTATAAGGCATCCACATCACTCTCATTTCACGGAAATCACTTAGATGGTTCCTACATATTTTGCCCCAAAACATTCTTTCTGGGAGGTCTAAAGACTTACTTTTTCATTTCTGAATAAAGCTCAGAGTTTGAGACACCTGCGTAGAAGCACCAGCTAAAGCCTTTTTGGGCTCCTCTGGTCTACACTTATCAGCAGCAGCGCTCTAGGGTTTCAGACGAGGTTCTCTCCTAGCCCTACCTGGTGATGCCAAGGATTGAACTTGGACCTTCTGAATGCAAGGCAAATGCTCTACCACTGAGTTACAGCCCTATGCCCATGGGTGATCATTTATTGTTGTGGTCTGGTGCTGATGCAGCTGAGTTTATAATTTCCATCTTACATCCATTTCACTGGTTACCTGTTCATTTCAGTTTAAAATGCTGGCATGAGTCCTTAAGAGTCCAGCCCTGTACACATTTATCCAGGAGTCAGTCCATGGTGGCAGCAGGAGACAGAGGAGCTGCTGCACGATGGTGTTGGGTGTGGGCATCATGTCTGACATCCAGGTGTCACGCAGGTCGTGACATCATTGTGCGTGATGCCCGGTTGCGACATCACATGCCACATCAGCCCCCACAATCGCTTTTCCGAGTTGGCACACCTGATGGGGCTTCCTTTTGAATAAAAATGCATTGGATTGCTCTCTAGATGGAATAGAGACTACTCACTACTGTATCCAGCTCCCAGGCTTCAAGAACCTTCAGTTTCTGAACTTCTCTGAATTTAGTGATTGAAATATGTGAAATAGACTCGGAGTCCTGTAGTGATTTCATGCTCTTTATTGCAGCTTGTTAAAACAGTGATTGAATTGCCCCCCAAACCTCAGGCTTTTACATACATTATTTACACAATGAGTTCCGTCTGATTGGCTGATTCTGCTTCCCTCCTGGAGCCTGATTGGTCTTTTCCTGCAGGCCAATCAGTTGTTGCATTCTATTAGCCTACCAGCCTAATAGGCTGATTAACTTCCTCCTGGAGCCTGATTGGTCTTTTCCTGCAAGCCAATCAGTTGTTGCATTCTAGGATCCTATTTGCCTATTGTTCTAGGATCCAAGCTTAGTACATAACAGTGATACAGCTCCAAAACCAAACAAACAAAAAAGCACCAAAATGCATAGAAAAAAATCACATGTTTTTGATGGTAAATTGCTTAATGCAGTTGTGAATTTTCATGCTAAAAGATGCAGAATATTGCAGAAACAGAAGTGAAGAGACATAGGAATAAACACACACGAAACTGACACAGACTGGACATAAGCAGATCTCACCCGTTCCTACATAAGATAGCTAGTTAAATGAGCCCAGAGGCCTTCTGGTGTTGGCTGAGACACAGCTCTGGAACATTCTCCCTTTGCGGATCTGGACTTCTCTTATAGTAACTTATGGAAGAAATTGAAAACATACTTGTTTTTAGCTGGCTTTTAATATCCATTTGATTAGAAACGTTTGCCTCCGCTGTGTCATTTATTTTTTTTGCAAATATGTTCTGCTGCCTAATTGTTGCTTTTAGTTCACAACGGTTTGGTTTGCAGTGGCATTTCTACGATTGCATCCTACGTAGTGCTGACGTCAACAGCTCTGAGTATAATTGCAGCACAGCTGGACATAGAGAAATGGGTTATTGGTGGGGCTGTTCTCTCTTGCTCACTCAGTCCTGGGTATATGCAGCTGCTCACAGCCGCTCTTAAGAGGGCACCGCCTTTGAAACAGCGCACTGCTGCCTCGGCAACGTCACATTGGTGAGACATCTGAAGATGACCTGGAGTGAATTTGGGCGTTACAAGGGTGGGCGTACATTGCAACTGTGAACAAGACTTTTGGCTGGCCTGTGATGCAAGAGTTGGTGCTTCATTTATTCAGAGCTTCAAAGGCACTCTCTGTGAGCCATAGGCTCCAACTTGCACAAAATATTGGGGGGCTGCCCCCCGCCCCTGCACTTCTCCCCCTCTCCCTGCACTTCTGCAGAGCACACCTTCTGTTAGGATACAGTTCCATTCCACCTTTAGAACAGGCGTGTGGAGTTGTTGTATGTCACATGTCTGTTTACTTCCAGCACAGTTTGCTGGGAACTTCCGTTGTATATTGCTTTTGCTGTGCTGCTGTTTTGCTTGGACACGAAAGGAAGAAGACATGTTTTCCTTTGTCCTGCTGCTGAATAAATGCTGTAAATATGCTTACACATGTCTCTGTCCGCTACTTCTGCTGCAAAGAGTTCTTATCACTGCTGGATTGCGGGCTCAGTCTCTAAAGGTTTCTGAGGCTTGAGTCGCAGTTTTGATGCTGTTATGAGAACAGGAGTTACGCCCGGCTGCCGGCCGGTGGCTGGAGCCAGCTGGGGGCCTGTCAATTGCCCCCGTCTCCCGGCAGCATCCCAACACCTTCCTCCATTGTGCACAACTGGACACAGGCCTCCCCTTCCCCTTGCCTGCTCACCTCTTGCCTGCACACAATAAGTTTCTGCCTGCTCGCCTGCCTCCCACCTCCAGCCCCCATCCACTGCCTACTCGCCTGCTCACCTCTCCTACCAGCCAGCCTGCCTCTTCTCAGCTGCCCCAGATCAGAAGTGCTTGGAAATGATGACGAAAGCCAGGAGGCAAGTCAAGAAAAGAGAGCAGCACCTGGCTGGGGGGAGTTGGCTGCCCAAGGGAGGGAGGGAGGCACCAACTTGCAGAAACTTTTGAGGGGGACTGCCCCCCAATATTTAACTATGGGAGGTGAAGGGACCAGGGCCCCATAGAGTTGGTGCATTCCCTCTGTCAGGGACTGGGCAGAGGAGGAATGGTGACCCATCCTGACCCTTCCAGGGAGGAGGAAGAGGAAGACAGTATAGATTTACAACAAGTGGTTTGCGGGAGGTTGCAGCTCAGAGGCAGATGAGGGGAAAAGTTGGGGAATCATGGGAGAGCCAGAACAACACCTGGCTGACACGTCGTCATTAGAAAGCATTCCAGATCCTCAATCTTTCAGAACCTGGCGAGCGTTAAAAGTAGGAGAGCAAAGAGCTCAAAGACAGAGGGTACGTAGAAACACCCATAGAGGTAGAGATTCACTTGGGACAATGCCATTATCCAAGGGGCTGGGTTCTGTAGCCTCTCTCTGTAAAGATTGAAATAAAAAATGATGTTAAGAAACTTTTCCTTGTCTTTATGATTCCTGGGCAACCAGCCAGGAGCTGCTGACAGCATCCCAACACCCTCTAACATTTCTCCAATGAAAATAGGAACATCCTGCCCAAATATTTTTCTAGAAAAAAAGAGGTCCTGGAAGTCACCATAAACAATACCCTTCAACATTTCTCTGATGAAAATAGGGACATCCTGTTCAACAACAACAACAACAACTTTGCTATTTATACCCCACCCATCTAACTAGGTTGTCACTCTGGGAGGCTTCCAACATATATAAAACATAATAAAACATTAAACATTAAAAAAAAAAATCCCTATACAGAGCTGCCTTCAGATGGCTTGGGGATCAGATAACTCCATACCCTCCAACATTTCTCCGATAAAAATAGGAAAGTCCTAAGGAAAAGTGGGACATTCTGGGATCAAATCAGAAACCGGGGTGGCTTCTGTAAATTGAGGGTGTCCCTGGAAAATAGGGACACTTGGGGAGGGGGGTCTGCTGGTGCCTATGCTGTGAGCCCCACTTCTACTTTGTCCGATTGCATGTGGAGTCTGGATTCAGAGCAGCTTGCTTTAAACGTCTCTGCTTTAAAAACGTCTCTGCTCCCTCAGCATACCCATGAAGACGTAAAAGAGGGAAAGGCTTTAATCCCTAAACTGAGTGTTGAGTCAGGCAGCATAATCAGTAGAGTTTGGGCTGTGCTTTTGCACGTTGTTTGTTTGAAGGGTTTGGATTAGTGACGCAAAGGCCCTCTCCACAGTGCTTAATGAATGAAAAGTGTCTGGACTTCTTCCAGTGACTCCGTCCAGCACAGTCCATAAAAGCCTGCAGCGACATTGCAGCAGGAGGAGAGTTCAACTGGATCTCCATTCTAATCGGAGCTTACAAAACGTGCCTTTCTAAAACCTCATAATTACCTTGTATGGGCTGTAACTGATCAGATGATTAGAAAACTGAGATTTGCAGCAGCGCCGCTCCTTAAAGGTTTCCCAGGTATTTACCTGCCCAGCCTAAAAAGATCACAGGAGCAGAAGGCCGAAGAAAATTGTGCAGTATCCCCTCCCCCCCCTTTTACTTTCATTGCATCTATTTTCTGCTTTAGTTATTCCTGGAATGGAAGGCAGAGAGTAAGTCCAGCTGGAGAAGATGGCCTTCACAGGACCCTTACCTACTGCTCCGTGCAAACGTTTGTCAAACTTTTCGATGAATTCCCAGTGCTACCTTTGTGACATTTGTTATGTGACCAGGCGAAAATGTTCCTCTTCAACCAGGCCTTGGGCTCATTAATATATTTTATGGCCTTTTAAATGTGTTTGTGGGAGGTGTGGTTATTGTTTTGGGGGTGGGTGGGGGTGTTGTTCCAGTTGTTCTTCTATCCTGTGTTTTTATCTTCAGATGAATGGTTTTATATAAATTAAACAAATAATCAGTCAATCAGTCAATCAATCAATCAATCAATCAATCAATCAATCAATAATCAATCAATCAATCAATCAATCAATCAATCAATCCTGATGGTTATGTTCCATCTTCACTGTCAGAGGCACTATGTTTCTGAATACCAGTCGCTGGAAACTGCAAGAGGGAAGAGTGCGGTTGCACTCAACTCCTGCTAGCCAGCTTCCCTGGTAGACTGCCATGAGAACAGGATTCCCGACCAGATGGACCACTGGCCTGAAGCAGCAGGCTATTCTTGTGTCAGAACCCAGGTTCAAAGCTACTGCGCTGTCTGTCAAGAGCAGGAATTATTCAGTACAGTATTTCATTTCCTTACTTTTTATGTGTGTGTTTTGGCCTTCATTAAGTGTGCATTAAGGATGCCATGGACAAGGTCCCAGGTTCAGTCCTTGGTGTCTGCAGGTAAAGGTAAAGGGACCCCTGACCGTTAGGCCCAGTCGTGACCGACTCTGGGGTTGCGGCGCTCATCTCGCTTTATTGGCCGAGGGAGCCGGCGTACAGCTTCCGGGTCATGTGGCCAGCATGACTAAGCTGCTTCTGGCAAACCAGAGCAGCGCACGGAAACGCCGTTTACCTTCCCGCCGGAGCGGTACCTATTTATCTACTTGCACTTTGATGTGCTTTCGAACTGCTAGGTTGGCAGGAGCAGGGACCGAGCAACGGGAGCTCACCCCGTCGTG